TGTTACCTGATCACTTACTAATAGGTGCCCCTTACCTTGAGGGGTCTTCTGATCTGTTGCAACTCTTAGAATTTCACATCAGATGGAGAGTTGGTCCGGGTGCTTAAATCATCACTTAAGTATAGAGCCTCCAAAGCCTCCATAGGTTCTCCAAAAGTGGGGTTGAGAGAGCTTAATCTAGAGCAGAAATGCTTTCGTTACTACAGGGCTGTGCCACTGATGGAGTACAGTACATCAATTCTAGTAGCTTATTAGATTTAATTGCTGTCTAGTACATGGCAAAGTTACCATTCTTCCTCAGTTATTTTGTATAACTACTTCACATATGGCATTGTTGGGGGGCAGGCACGTACTTGGTAATTTAACATTTATACAGAATGCCAGGGATTACACAAAACTTGCATGCATATCGCACATACAGACATTTCCTGGAGATACTAAAGCTGTACCTTAACACTCCAGGACCTAATAGTCTCATCTTCATTGTTTGATGGGTTGTAGCCCACTAGTCATTTCACTACTGTGCAAAAAGTGAAGTACAAGACTAAGTCCTCTTCTGTAGATAGTGCTTTCCATCCTCAAGTACTTTACATGTCAGCTTGAGTTAACTTCATCTTTGTCGTTGTGGAAATGCAGCACAAGGTGAGACACACCAACAGCCCTGCATGCCAATCTGTGTGGACTTTGCTTAAACAATCGGGTGGATAAGATGAACCCCTTAAAGAAGGAGTAAGATGGAAGAGCACCACCTACAGGTCTCTCCCACCCCACACACTACTTGCAGCAACAGCCAGGATTTCAGGATCTCAGTAGGCTCAGACTTGATATAAGATTAGGGTACAAGGCCGTACTATTGTTGCATGTTCTTTCCAGATCTGCTTCCTCCCTGCAGAGGTGAGGGGTTTTTTTTGGGGAAAAAGCTCAGAGACAAGCTCTACTGGCAGCTGGGGGGCTGGAATTCCTTTTTTTTCTATTGGTCAGTTGCTGGGGAGCCTTCTTCGTGTTTAAGGGGAAGAAAGAAAACAATGTTTCGGCTGTGGAGCTGCCTTCTCACTCGCGAAGAAGGCTCCACAACCAAAAGGTTTTCTTTCTTCTCTTTTCAGCGTGGAATAAACCTTTACTTTTTTCTTTAGAGTCTATGGATGCGGACGCAGCTACCCACCTGAACTACTATAACTATATATAACCAACAGTGTAGGACCCGGTGTCACTGTGCTCACTGAAGGAGGTAACATGTTAATGACTATAAATCATGTAATTGCTGTGAAAACCAAGTACACAAAGTATGTCATTCACAAGCTATGAAAGATTTAAAAGGAATTTAATTTGATTGCATTTTTACCCTTGTGTTGTTGTTGTAAATTTACAAATGTTGTCAGGCGTTGGCTACACTTTGGACTTTTAAAAAATGTAGATATGTTCAATTTTATGTGAAAAAAAGTATTTTCAAACATTTCCGAGGTCTGCATGTGTGAGTCAGTTTCCAATGTTGTTCTGCAGATGCGTTATGAACTACCAAGGTCAACTTAGTACACTGTGCCCCTTAAGCAATTTCCTGGTGCTTTTTCATGATTCCAAATTTGCTTTGCAAATAGTAAATAGTTAATGAGAGTAATACAGGAAGTTGCCATTTTCAAATAAGTGGCTCGTATGAGAGATGAGTCGAATCGTTAAACGTTCCTTGATATGCATATTTAAAATGGACACAATGAGAAACCAATTACTTCTCCAGTGTTAAAAAATATTGGAAATATTGACAGCTACGAAGAAGTGTGGTAGTACTGAGTTTTATTTTTTTTTTCTAGGGTCAGTTAAACATTTACAATACAGTTATTTCATATTACAAAATTATTTACAAAAATTACGTAGTCACTCCACTGTTAATTTTAGGCACAAATGCTTGTGTACGAAAAGTAACCAAATAGATTGGTAAATTGTCCAGTTTTGTTTCTCTGCTATGGGGATAACAAAAAAGTCAACAGAGAAACCCCAGAGGTGCGACTGTCTTTCTGAGGAAAAACTATGGGTGTGTGCATCTGCAAGATACACAAATACTGTACTGTGCAAATACAAGCACTAGTTCTACCAGGGGGTCCTGATACCTGATCTTGGAACGTCCCAGTCTAGCAGGTTTTGTAGGCAGCCTTTAAATCACCAGCTGAAGGCCTGAAGCAATGGGACAGGATCTCTAAAGTCAGGACATTTGGAACAACAGAATATCCTTCGGTCCTCAAGGATCAGTATTTGCTTCTGACTGACCAATTCTAAATAAACTCAACTGATCGACTGGTTAAATGATTCTGATCTCTGAATCATCAACGATATTGGGTGACTTATGAGAATAACTGGATTGGGGCTCTCCATGACCAGGGTTAGAGACCCCCTGGGTTGTACATAAAACAATCAATAACCTATTAAAGATACATGGAAAAATACGATTTTTCCTTCATTACTTGGGATCCAGAACAAGGAAAACAAAAGCTGCTCTAGTGTGCCGAGAGGCTGGCAGTCCACACCACTGGATACAAACAAAGGTCCATCTTTTTTTAAGAAGTTGCTTGTACAGCCGATTGTACTGTAACCATTGCAGATTCTGCTGCATCGATACAAAAGAGGTCTCAAGGCGAGTTTGTTTAAATCGACTGAAACACGGTGAAGGCATTCTCCACATCAGGCATGAAAAACTCAGATGCTAGGCAGCTGTAATGTCTTTTGGGTTTCAATCTCGGTCAACTTTGTAATTAACTTAAAAGGTCTAATTGTCTGACTTACAGTAAAAATGCACACCCTCACGCATGCATGGAGCCCAGTGAGTCACCACCAGGTCCCTGACTGCGGTGGCGCTGATGCCAGTCTCCTGCTGCTGTCTCGTGCCCCCGCTACCATCAGGTCAGGCAAACCTGTGTAAGTCGCAGTCACGAAGAATATGCTACACTAAGAGCCTCTTTATAGCTAAGTGTACATTCTCTGCCACCTGTGTAACTACAGGTACCAATTTGCACCCCAATAAATATAAATATGGACTAGAACATGGTAAAAATCAAATATCTTCGAATAACTATCCTGCAAAATGTACAGAAAAGAAGGAGAGGGGTGATGAGTGCTAATGGCTACAGCAATTATTAAAAGGGAAACAGATGACTCATCTTTATGCTTTTCGAGATAACGAAAACAGGATCTAACTGAAACTACAAAACACTGTCCTAAATTTTATGGTATTAAAAATAACTTATCTTCCAAGTTACTCACTCCGATGTTTTGACTGCTCTGACCGGAGCAGGATTGTCCCAGCGTTTATCCCGGCTTGAGTCAGGCTTACGCTGGTATTGGCTTGTCAGAAGTCTCAAATTTTGAAATGTAATGTCATCTAATGCTAAGCAAAAGCGACATTTTAAATTTTTGAAGCCAAGTGTAGTCACCGATTAAATCCTGGGACAAAGCAGACAAAAATCTGAAACACAGCATGGGTAATGTGATTCAGGAGACAGGAATGAGCGGAGCATGGTGAAAGAGTAATTCTCGACTACATGCTGAAACATTCACTGAAGAAAAAAAGTAAATGCTGAGAAACGACAATGTTATAAATCTCAGAAGTCTACAGTCTCATCATCTCACCCCTTGGTTTTCACAAGAACAAAGATATTTCCTCTAAATTCAAACTTCTCCAAAGATTAGAAGCCAACAAGTTCAGCTTGCCCTTCAAGTCTGCAATCCAAGAACTCCGGATCACTTACATACGAGCTAGCAAGACTAACAGAATCACTGCACTGAAACACACAGAAACAGAGATGCTTGGATAGCAAGAGCTTTTCCACCCAACCATATCCACTAACCAAGTGCACATCCCGTTCCGTTATAACGCTGCATGAACACAAGACCTTGAGGCTTTTTAAAACAAGACATGCCAAAGCTATTGCCTGAACCAAATGTTTAACGTTTAGCACGTTTAGCTTTGCAGACATGCAAAAGCCAGTTTGTGTACTCTCAGTGCGTTAAGTGCTCCTGCCTTATAAATACTATAAGATTTCTTTATGTGAATACTTCAGAGGTATAAAAGTCCCAGGCTAGCAGTAGTTACAGCTGCTCCATCATAGCACCAAGCATTTATAATAGGTAGAAAAAATAGATGACTACCATTTTGTCTTTTAAATGAATTCTGCAAGATAGCAACATTTCACTTTTCAGAATTAAAGTGCTTGTTGTTAGAACATGGCAGACATCAAATGAACAAAGTAGCTTGAAAAACCCTCAGATTACTGCAATTTCTAAAATATTTTCCTCCATCTAGACTTCTAAAGAATTGTTTCTTTTCTACTTATTATATTCCTTAATCAGCTCAAATTAATTTAAAGTGACAGCGATTCAAATCATAAGAAACAATTCAAATACTTTAAAATTTGATTCCAGCATCTGTAGAAATTCCAGCTGTGTTTAAAGTTAGGAATTGTTTCTAATCAAATAACATTCAAAAACCACTAAAAAAAACAGGTTTTGAATGCGCTCACAGTAAATGCCAAACTGGCCAATGACACATTACTCGTGTCAGAGAAAACGCCTGTTGCTCTGCCTAAATTAAATGGTTAAGACATCACAAAACCCTAAACTTCCTTCTGCAAACAAATTTTGTAACTAAAGGAGACAGTAATACTGTACATGCAAATTTGAAGAACATATGCTGTTCTTAAGGAAGTGACCATGAAACATGTAAATTATTTCAAACACATTTGAGTTTTTCTCAAAATAGGAACTTGTGGGGTTTCATGTTTTTCCATGCATTAAAAGGTTCAAACCCGGAGCCCTCAATTCAAATGCAGTGCACTTCCTGTGGTGAGATTATTTAAAGCTTTGTAGCTATAAAGACATATCAAAGTCCCCTGATGGTCTTTTTCTTTCTAAGGCAACCTAACACAGCAAGGCAAAGTCACAGTACAGCCAAATGCCATGCTTGCGATTTTTTTTTGGTTAAAAAAAAGTTGGAAAAAATGAAAAAAAAAATAAATTCCCTCCCCCCCCCTACTTCATCGGCAGCACTTCTAAGATTATGCCTTTGAAAGACAAATTGCTACACCACTTTGGTCAAGTTACGCAAGAAGCCTGCAGCTGGTAGGCAAGTGTGTACGGGATGTGTCCCAGGAAGCCTTCACTGCGGCCCGTCCCGATGCCTCTGCATCCTGCGTTCTGCAGCTGCTGCCAGCATCCTGCGCCGCAGCGTCAGAGAGTCCGAGCTGGGGTTATCAACCTCTGAAGAAGGCAGGGTTTCCTCCTCCTCTTCCTCCTCCATCTCCTCTGGGCTCTTACTGAGATATCGCCTGAAAAAGCAGGGAGCAGAGTCAATAAACCAACCCTCAAAAAGGTTACCTTGATTACCTCCAATTTTTTCTTCCTCCCCTAAAGGATTGTGGGAGTACGGGGCAAGCTCCCACAGTCCTTTAGGGGCAAGCTACCCTCCCGGGCTATCGAAGACAATACCCTGGCTTCTTTCAAGAAACAAGCTAAACAACATCCACAGATCAATTAGCGACTAAAAGACAAGTGAACTAGACGGCCTGAGTCTGTAAACATTCTCTTGCTCTGACAAGTCATATGTGCATGTGTGCCGAGATGCAGAGTAAAAATTTAACATTGTGGGTAGAGAAAAGAAATTGCTTTGGGCCGCTCAACAAAGCTGTAAACTGGACATTACCTTCATGCCCACAACAGATTTAAGCCTTAAGTCTCAGCTGTAAAATCAAGTTTCCCTTTCTGCATGTTGGACCACAGCTACGATTACTATGAATCTAACAGCAGCAGCAGTATTCACAGAAAGTATTCTAGACATACAGTGGCCACAGTGGCACAAAGGCTTCACTGCAAATGGAAACAGTACTGCAGAATCAGCAACGGTTCTCACTTGAGACACACAAGAGCTGAGAAGGGTGTACCTGCGTGCCTGCTGCAACAGGTCCTCCTTTCTCTGTAACAGCATCCTCTGTCTCTCCTCAGCTGATTTGGAGAAGCGGCTGCCCCTGGCCTCAAAGTCCTCGGTCTCGCTGGGCACTGCCTCACCGCCTCCGCTAGCCCCAGTGGGCTCCTCGGGGGAAGACGTCACCTGCAGGACAGGGCGCTCGCTGGGCTGAAAGTGTCAGGAGACAGAAAGTCAAGCAGGGAAATCCAGGTCAGGGAGGTTTCTTGATTCTTCTTTTCAGGGTGTTCTGAAAACCTACCCGTTGCGTGGTGTTGTACAGGCTCAGAGAATAACTTCAATAACTTCAGCAGGGTTAAATAAAATGTGTTGGGACAAAGCAGGTGAGGCTTTAGGAACCTTTATGCTAAAAAGTATCTTTACAGCTTTCAAACAGCTGTGCGCACAGAACAAGATGGTTCTGCTTCTGAGGCTTCATTCACATCCGCGGAGCGGTGGCACTGTTGCTAAGGATCTGCGCCTGTGGCTGGAAGGTTGCAGGTTCAAATCCCACGGCCAGCAGAGGAATCCTACTCTGTTGGGCCCCTGAGCAAGGCCCTTAACCCCAGGTGCTCCAGGGGTGCCGTATAAATGGCTGACCCTGCGCTCTGACCCCAAGCTTCTCTTCCTGTCTGTGTGTCTCATGGAGAATATATATGCGAAAAAGACAAATTCCTAATGCAAGAAATTGTATATAGCTAATATCTTTAAAATTTACAGATCTTTAAAATCATCATGCTCAAGTTCCTTATGAGAACTAATCAAGTAGTAGCAAATTTGTCTACTGATGTATTTCTTAAAAATGTAAAATTGTGCGCAGCAATGTACACAGCACGGCAATCTTCAAGCGCCCAGAGCTGCTGGCAGTCGTGGGTGACTTGCCTGCTGGGGGAAGGGAACCTGTATGCGCCCCTCCAGGATGTTGTCGGTGGTGATCTCCACAGAGCGCGTGAGCTGGAGGTCCTGCAGCACCAGGTGATACGGCACCTGAGGAAACATCTCCTGGATCTGGTGGGCCTGCAGGAGGACAGGAAAAAGAAGCTGCCATTGAACTTTCCATGTCAAACAGCTATTCGCTGCTTTTCCCCAGGAGCACAGAATTATTCAAAATGTTTTTCAGTATCCAGTATCCATCTAAAACCAACTCTGATGGAACGAGCACTAAAAAGGTTCTCTGAACGGTCTTGTAATTTTTAACGGCTTGATTCAGCACTATACCACATCCTGCGTACTCACCATGGCATTAAGCTGGGAGTTGTTGGCCTGTGCAATTCCAAGAATGTTAGTTGTGTGCATAACTTCCACTGAAAAACTGGGCAGCCAGCTCGCAATGCGGGAACCTACAAAGTACAATGCAAGAAAAGAATCTGCAAAGGATTCCAAGCCATTTTGCATTAAATCAACAATACTTATTAGACAGTCAACTCGCAACGTATACAGGGGTTAGGGATTTTGAGCGGTGTATAAAGAAAGTCAGATATAGTCAACTTTGACCCTATCACCCTTACAAAAAAACTAACTTCTTAAGGTAATACAAGATATCAAATATAAGTATAAAAACAGTAAATAAAAGTTAATATGACTGTATAGGCTCATTAAGTAGCTATAGATGGCTTTTTCAGGGAATAAAGCATTTTTTCCCTAGATTTTTATTTTCCAGAGCCAAACACATAAAAGCTGCGACCACATAAGGTTCAGTTGCAAGTCTACCGTATTTATAAAACGTCTTTAACGGGTTCAGTTAGCAGACAGCAGCAGGGGCAGCGTGCCTCACCGTCGAAGTGGAAGAAGTGGTTGTGCTGGTTGAGGTGAGGCCTGGCCTCTCCCGCCGGGCCTGGGCCGATGGCGTCGTCCAGCACCTCTCTCTGCCGGTCCTCCCTGGCCTGGCCGCCCTCGCTGATGTTCAGAGACATGCGGCAGGTGGGGCAGGAAGTGTCCTGCTCCAGCCAGGAGCGCAGACAGGAGCTGCGGGACACAAACACCAACACAGTCAGCCTGGACCACAGACAGGTCCCCACTGATCGGCCATCGCTCTTAGAAAACTCCAGGATCTAGCTGTAAGAGTGCCGCAGAAAGACAAAGCTCTTCCCGGGTTATTATTACAGTTAATTGTTTACCATAACCAAACTCCTTCTATTCAATCGAATAGGTCAAAAAATTCTGTACTACATTTTCACAACAGAAGCAAAATAGCAACTTTCGGTTCACGTATGCGTGTTCTCCAACCAGGCTTTAAAAAGTTATTCAAACGACTGAGAAAAGGAATAAGACCCAAGTCCAGACATGTGTTGAAAACTGATCGGGACAGGGCGTACTTGTGGAAGAGATGCCCACAGGGCAGTTTGCGTGCCGCCTGCATGGAGTCCCAGCAGATGGCACAGTCATCGTTGTTGGCAGCCAGTTCCTCAGCCGTAGCCACAGCAAACCTGCAAGCCAGGACAGGGGCACAGATTACTCACCGGCCTGAAGTGGCAGTAAACTGGTCTTCACTTAGACAGGCACATTGAGAGCAACTGTCACAGTCAGAAGGGGAAAAAGATGCTAAACAAATATTGGATGAAAACAAGCATAATCTTTACACATAAGAAAGTTGGGAAACCTAAGGAGACCTTAAGTCTCTCTCCTGCAGTTGTCATTGTATACAAGGTCCTCGCAGTCTATCTGCTTCAAGCTGGGTGCTCACCTGGCCTCCATGTTGCCAATGACACGCAAGTAGTTCTTGTGGCGCCGAATCCTGCGTTGCACTTCGTGGAAAAGGTAGCGAAGCTGCATGAATATCACCAAGCTGGCCATCGACAGCCAAATGTTGCCAAAGAGCTAGAGAAAGACAAGAGCAGCAGGCAGCAAAGTCCATAGTCATCGGCAAAGATCATTCTTTTAAAACAGAACTTTTGACTACCCTCTTAATCCACTTATTGATGAGAGAACTAAAGCACTTCCTCAAGCGTGCACCATCTGATTACTAGTCCCCCCCCCCCCCATTAGTGCACTAATATTTTTTTTTTTAACGTAAAAGCAGTTTAGAAACTTCAGATTTTATTTTGAGATCCATTATCAGAGAGTATGGCTGCAGCAGCTCAAAGCCCAATACTGGAAGCTTGGGGCGCAAGAATGAACGGCGTCTTTGACAGGGTGACTGGTGCATATTTTATGAAACCGAAGCCTGCTTTTGATGAAATCATATCAACCACCTCTGAAGGAGATAAAAAAAATTGACAAATTTTGTTTTGCAGGGCTTCATGATGGCTAGGGGATAAGGCATCCATCCTTCTAAATCACTTAGGCCTGGCAAGGATCTCAGCAACCTGAAGCCCGGCACAGGGCACAGGGCACAGGGCACAGGGCACAGGGCACAGGGCACAGGGCACAGGGCACAGGGCACAGGGCACAGGGCACAGGGCACAGGGCA